ACTAGCATTGTTCCATCAATAATTGATAGAAGGGTGTTAAAAATCTTTCTCTATACTTCTGGCTTTATTTCTCCCTTTAATACTTTTAATTTTTAAAAAATGTATTCTGAAGACTTTATAAGTTGCATATACATTTCTTCTCGATGAATTAATTTTTTGTTATTATGAAATGACCTACTTTATCTCTAGTAATGCTTTTTGTCTTAAAGTATACTTTTTTTGATACTGATATAGTCATACCAACTCTTTCATGCTTAATATTTGCATGGTATTTCTCCCCACCCTTTACTTTAAGCCTGTCTTTATTCTTCACAGTATAGGTTTTGCCTTGCCTTTTTATACAATCTGTCGAACTCTGAAACGTAATTGAAATGTTTAGCTCATTTGCATTCAGCATAATTATTACACAGTATGGTTGGATTTATGTTTCTCACTTGAATTGGTTTTTACTTGACTGGTTCTTTATTCCTTTGTTTCCTGCCTTTGTCAGGGGATGGGAGAGAAGAGTGAACTGTGTATTTTTTGGATTGTATTTTGTTTCCTCTATTGAGTTTTGCTGTACTTTGTGTTATTTCTTTTAGTGGTTGCTTATGTCTACTTTTTAATACTTTAAAATAATATGATACTATTTGTGAGCTGTGTAAGAATTCCATTTACTGTTTCCCATGGGATGTGCTCTTGTTGCCTTATGTTGTAAAATTCAACACATTTTAAAAATAGTAATATTTTAAAGTATTTTAAAAATAGTCTTTAAACTGTCAGTATCTTTCAAAAAATCACATGAGAATACACATATTAGTACATAATAAAGTGTTTTATAATAACTATTTGCCCTTGTTTTACCCATTTTGCTGCTCTTAATTTCTTCCTGTGGATCTAGTTTTCTACCTGGTGTGTCATTTTTTTTCCAGAAAATATAACCCTTCTTCTCTATGGTATCAAACCCAGGACCTTGGAAATGCTAGGCATGTGTTCTATCACTGAGCTATGCCCCTAGACCAACAATTTTTTTTCCTGCAGAACCTTAATAAAGATAGCATTCTATTGTTCTTTGCCTCCATTGTTTTTGGTGAGAAATAGCATGTACATTTTCTCCTGTTGCTCTTAAGGTTTGCTTTCTATATCTGATTTTCAGTAGTTTGCCATGATGTGCCTTGGTATGGGTTTCTTTTAATTCATCTGGCTTGGGGTTTGCTGAGTTTCTTGGATTGATTTGGAAGGTTTGGGCTCATTGTCTCTTCAAAATTATTTCCACTTCCTTCCTTGTTCTTCTTTGGGGACTCAAAGTACAAACACATTAAGGTATTTGATATTTTCTCACAGATCTCAAGTTTTTTGTTCTGTTTTTTTCCACTTGTTTTTTCCTTTTTATTCCCATTTGAAAAATTTCTATTGACCCATCTATATGTTTAGTAATCCCTTTTTGAATCCTGTCTTCCATTAAGCCCATCAGTTGAGTTTTTTATTTCTAATATTGCATCTTTTTCTTTCTTACATTTCTCTTTGATTTGTTTTCATGTCCCTGGAAGTTCTTTGTGTCTTTGTGCATATTTTCTTCTTTCCCCATTAAATTTTTCAGCATTTCTATCACTGTTATTTAAAAATCCTTGTCTAATAATTCCAAAATCTGGATCAGAAATGATCAGACTTGTTCTATTGACTGTTTGTACTCTTGATTGCAAATAACATTTTCATGCTTCAAGTGTCTTGTAAGTTTTGATCAATGTTAGTCATTTTGTATAAAAGAGCACTAGAGAGTAAATAATAATTACTTTTAATAAGGAGTTAATATGTTTGTGGTTGGGTCTTGATTTTATTACAGCTTTATTTGAATTTGATTGACCAATAGCTACAAAAGCTTTGAGGATATAATCAGGACTTTGCTTGGAAGCTGAGTGTTGGTAAAATTCTGGAGAATTCTTTGTTCTTTACAACTGAGCTGCCAACTTTCCAAACTACAAAGCATCTCCCTCTCTTTCTTTCTTTCTCTCTCCCTCCCTCCCTGTAGATTAACTACCACCAGCATTTTGAATTGTTTTCTGGTATTGTCCAAGTTCTTTTTTACCTAGGAAGATCATTATCTGCCCAGAATTCCTGGAGCAGTTTCTTCTAGCTCTTCTTCTTGCCTTCATTCAGAGCCATGCTCTGAAAGCTGGGAGAGCCTCTATTGGTTTTTCTCAGGTTCCTTACTCTGTTCCCCTCCATCATAGCTTGGCTCCCTTGAGCCCGATGGACTCCAGCACTCAGGCAGTAACTCTCCCAGCCCTCCTGCCTCATCTGCAGCCTTTGGCAGACTGCCCTTGAGAATTCAGTGCAGTTTGTGGGAAAACAGCAGTAGATGGGAATGTCCAGCCTCTGAGCCTAGAACAATTTAGAATTTGAATCTGTCATGCCAGTCCCTGCATGGTTGTTAAAAGATTTTTAGGGTTTCACCACCCTCAGCTGTAAAAGTCTTCCTCCTTTTAATACTTTACCAAAGACTAGGGGTAAAAAATGCTGCAGGTATCTTACCTCCTACAGATAGCTTGAGATGAATTCATTTAGGTTAGTTTGAATCCTCATTGCTCCTATAAGGTTAAAAAGAAACTAAATTTCTTCCTGTTCTTTTTATAGCTTATTTAAGCTGTTTTGGATGTTAGGGTCAGAATGAGGATTTCTTGCATCCTTTTTACATCCTAACCAGAAGCAGAACTCACCATCATATAATTCATTATTATCATCCAAATCTCCTATCATTTAATTTACTTTATGTACTACTGGTGCATTATAGATCCATTGCTGTGACCTGCACAGCGTAGGGTCTGAAGCTGGGGATAGCGGTGGGAGATGAAGAATATTGAAGAATAACAAAAAAGAAGGATATGTACCAAACTTATACTTTATAGCTGGGACCAGGTGGGACCATAGCCTGATGAGCTAATGGCTGCCTGGCATTCAGTGTGCTCTTTATTTATAGTGTAGGAAGGCAGGTAACTAGTGCCATGTGGCCCACATGGCCTAGGCTGAACATGATTGTCTCATGATGGAGGCATGAGCAGAAAGGGAACAAAGATACATAATATAACTGACTGTGTCTGTTTGACTCGCTAATCTATGGAGGAGAAAGGCAGTAGGGAAGAGAAAAAGGGCCATCTTCAGGCTCGGCCCATGACAATCCATGAAAAACATCCTACGTCAATTGTGTTTCTGACAATATTTTATGTATTTCTAGATTTTCTAATTCTATACAATTTGTTTCCATATTTGAAAATAAACTCTTTTAGATTATTTTGCTAAGAGGGCAATGGGTTGGACAAATAAATCCCAAAATGGCATTTTGGCATGTTCCTAAAAATCCCTCCAAAATCTACAAAAAATTCTGTGGCAAATTCAGTTGATTTCATTTCTTTTTTTTTTTGGTACTGGGGATCGAACTCGGGTCCTTGTGCTTGCGCAGCAGGCGGCGAAACCACTGAGCTAAATCCCCAGCCCTTCATTTCTGATAATATAAAATCATCACTTTGGTTTAATGATTTATTTTACATTCTACTTTTGAGGTATTAATATTGTTAATTCTTTTTTTCTTTATGTTTCTTATTTTTCTTATTATTTACTTTTGTGCCATTTTGCTCTAGATGTAATTCTTTTTTTTACTTTTTTTGGTACCAGGGATCAAACTCAGGACCTTGCGCTTGCAGGGCAGACACAGTGCCACTGAGCTAAATCCCTGGTCCTGTAATTCTTGTAAGTAGAAAATTATTCGATTTTTTCTTCTTAGTTCATCTGAGATGGTGGAGAAAATTTAGCCATTTGTATGTATTATCATAACTTGATGTTTAGCATGCCTTTTCATTACATAGTTATCAAAGAGTTATTGAACGCCTTTACAGAAGCAAAAATATAAACAAAGAAAAATCTTTGCCTTTTGGGAGATCATCATCTGTAAGAAATAGTCCACTAATAATAACTTTACTCAGAGAAAAGAAAGACAAATAGTGAAAATAAGAGAATTAGTTCCAAAGAATAACTTGATTTTAAGTTCTAAGCTATTTATTCAATTAGAAAATTTACATAATATAAAAAAAATCTGGTTTCTCATTTCTTTTTAGAGTCACATAGAGGATTGTTTTCCCTTCAAGTGTGATTTATAAATGACTTCTCTTGAATCCTCTATCCAGTGTACCTTGTGTCTGGAAGAATAATATTATCTTTTACTCATTTTGGATCATTGCCATATAATTCCAATATAATTTTTATTTAGCAGTGAGGATAAAGACTGTTACAGAATATTATTTTATAGACCAATTGAGAGTTTCCATCCCAGAAAGGGGTAACTTCTTTTTTAAGCAAATCAAAATATTTCCAATTTTTAGGTGAAATAAGAAATTTCCATTAAGGATTTTTTTATTTAAAAAAGTTAAGAAACTTTGTATTTTTTTTTTTTTTTGGTACCAGGGATCGGACTTGGGACCTTGCACTTCAGACGGTAGAACCACTGAGCTAAATTCCTGGCCCTGAAACTTTTTATTCTTATAAAGACTTTGTAAATTCTTTTGGGTCTGAGAAGTAAAAACAAAGTGAAAATAGGTTCCTTCAGATGATCTTGCCTCTGGAAACGGAGGCAGTCCTCTCACAGAACCCCGCCTGCCTGTGCCTGTCTGCCCAGGACCCCTGGTGGGGCCTGGCCGGAGGCCTGTTCTCATCCTTCAGCCTGGCTCGGGTGGGGCCTCAGCTGGAGCTTGACTGTCACTCTCTGTAAGTGGGGGCGCAGGAGGATGGGTCCTGCGGGGCGTGGTCAGGAAGCCAAGGACAAGTGAGCGCTGCAGACCTGGGGCTCAGACCTGCAGCAGGACAGCGGGTCTGTGATCCTAACCTAGGACTCGGGCCTCTGCTGTCTCTTGTGGGTAGAAAAGAAGTCAGTAGAACTCAGTTTGTTGCTGAGAACAATCGGTAACTCAGACAAGAAAAGGAGCCCGGGTTTCCCGGAGTCTCTTTCTGGGATGAGCTGATTCTGTCCCCACTGCCACGTGGCCCGGCCATGGCGTCTGGAGAGACAGCGTTCCCGCAGCCACTCCCTTAGTCTCTCACCTGCCTTACCCTCTCCAAGCTCTTTGGCCTGTTGGGCCCCAGGTCCCTCAGTATTGTGTTATCAACAAACCAAATGCGTGCCCAGCACTCGAACCTGCTCCAGTTTAGAGCTCACAGTTCGCAGAGTGCCCAGAACGGTCACCGTGTCCACATCTCCTGGCGTGATGATTAGTTTCTCCCTTTCCCTCTCAACAGTGTCCCGAGTCAGACAGTAAGGTATACAGTCGCTCTAAGGCTTCCTCTGGGCCGAGATCCCTTCCGCCTTAGACTGACACCTGCAGGCGTACGAAACGGCTGTGTATGAGAACAGCTCGGAAGAGAAGAAGGTGCAGGCTTCTCCCCATGCACACCTCCGGTCCGGGGTCGCCTTCTGAGTCCGTTCAGGGCCTTCGGAAGGGGCAGCGACTGGGAAGTTTTCACTTGAAGACGCCACACCTGCCACTGCTGTGGTGTCCAGGGCTGTACTGAGCCGCGGAGTCAGGGGAACGCTCCGAAGAGTGTCCCCGCCTCTCCTCTTGTGACGGGAGGCACCTTCAGTGTTAGGTCAAAATCGGAAGGCAGAGGCTTGGAGAGCTGCGGAGACTGGGTGGCAGACGCCATGCGCGGGGTCCTCCCAGGCCCTGCCGCTGTCCGAAGAGGGCAGGGACGGCCTGGTGAGGACGGCAGGAGCGCGAGGCTGTGTTGTGGATGGTCACAGCGACAGAGGCTTGGGTGGAGACAGGAGGGTCAGTTCCAAGGTTCATCTGTTGGAAATTGGGTGGCCCTGGTTCTGCTCCGACAGAGGAGACGCAGCCCGCGGAGGGCGAGGTGAACCACGGCAAGGCGAGGCTTCGTCCTCCTCCCCGCGTTCCATCCCATGCCGGTGTCCTGATCTGAACATCTGAAACAGCGCGAAGCACTTGCACAACGTGATGTTCAGACTCAAGACAGCTTCAGGTAGGGTTTGTTGCTTGGTTCTCACAGTGGCGAATTTAAGGTCTTTAACCTTTGGGCTCTGGGGCCCAGTAGCACCGGGTGGGGTGCGGGGAGGTGGGTCGGGGGGTTCTCTGCATGCCTTTGCCTTTTTATGGGACTCTGGGCCACACAGACGCCACCGCTAGGCCAGCTGTTCTAGAGCCCAGAAAAGTGAAAAGCGGCTGTTGCCAAGATAAGCAGGCACTCGGAGTAGAGTGGGGTAGGGAGGGAAACACAGGATGTTGTCTGACTTCCAGGTATTCTTGTAAGTTTTTACTGGAGCTTTGTTTTTGCCTTATTTTTTTTCAAAGACAGCAGTGTAGTCAAGTCTCTAGTAAAATAAAAGCCCAGGGCTTCACCAGTTCCCTTTGAAAGGGCCTGAACTGGATTCTCCCAGCATCTGAGCAAGGCCTGGCTGTGCCCCTTGCCTGGCATCTTGGGAATGCGGGGGCGAGCGGTCTGCCTCCTGCCTGTCACTGGCTGAATGAACAGGCCATAATGGGTCAATTCTCTGCTGTCTGCTATTTAAAACAACGGGTTCCTTCCTGTTTCCTATGAGCTGACTGAGCCCTCTTCTGTGTTAGGGAAAAAAAGAAGAAAAAAAAGAAACTCAGGAATAAAGTGTCCCCTCTGAGACTGAATGAGCTACACATCTCGGCCCGCTGTGCCACAAAAGCTCCTAACTGTTTTATCTGTACAGATGGTTCTCATTTGGTGTTGGTGGCACGACTCTGTGAGGTAATTTCCCAAATACTTGGTTCTTTAAACGGGAAGAGGGGGGAAAAAAAAGGGAAAGTAAACTATCTAAGCCTTACTGGAATCCTCTAAGAAATAGAATTGCTGCGAGGGTTTTGTGTCAAAGTTTTGCAGAAGTCTCCGGACTGCAGATGTTCCTGCACAGCAGGGACAGCCGGAGAATGTCACCCGCACCGACCGGAAGAGAGAACCCGCTGTGCTCCATCCTTTATCCTCCTCCCCAGGGAGGTCCAGTGCGCACTGGGGGTGAGCCACAGCCCCAAGGCCTGGCCCCCAGGAGACATTGGGGTGGGAGGCTGGGAAGCAGGTCCTTGTGCACCCCCAGGTGATTCCCTCCTGACTCCGCCTCCCCGTTTCTCACACCAAGTGGGAGGGGTGGCCCAGTTTCCTTGGTTATGTAATAGCTGTGTTGCAAGTTTCAGTAGCAATCCGGGACACTGAGCAACTCCTGCTTTCCTGGGGATGCCACCCAGCCAGGGCCGGGGCCTGATGTACCCCCAGATTGTTGTCTGTGGCCATGCGCAGCTCTGTGGCTCTGGGGACTGGGAGTCCCTAGGAGAGACAGACACACCTGGCCCAGCCGAGTGCTGGGGCCCTCACCCCATCACCAGAGGCACTGGCTCCTGCCTGGCCTCGCACATTAGTGATGCATGGCGGGCAAAAGAGACACCGTGGGCCAGTTACTCTGCCTGGAAGGGGAGTTTCATGGAGGTGGAGCTGTCAAGCCAGATCTCAAAGAAAGAAGATAGGACTATGCTACAGTAAAAAGGAGAAAGACAGACCCAACAGAGGGGAAGATAGGAGCAAAGCCACAGAGACATGTATGTGGTATGCTTAGAAAATGGAATCAGGTGCCAGTGCGATATTCCAGGTACAAATTCCGGCCTTCTGCAGATGACACATGCAGATGCATGTGTGACTGAATGGGTGGAGGTGGCCAGAGCACACAGGTAGACGTGAGTGTGAGTGTGCCTACATATATGAGTGAGGGACTCGAGGTTTTAAAAGCTTGGCTGAGCCAGGCATGGTGCACACCTATAGTCCCAGCAGTCTGGGAGGCTGAGGCAGGAAGCATGTAAATTTGATCCTAGCTTGAACAACTGAGCAAGTTAATGAGACCCTACCTCAAAATAAAAATTAAAAAAGGGCTGGAGATGTAGCTTATTGTGAAGGCCCTGGGTTCAATTCCCAGCAACACACACACACACACACACACACACACACACACACACACACACAGCCTGCTAGAACCAGACTGAGAAAAGTCTGTTTGGCAAAGGGAAATCCAAGATATCAAGATAGCTGGGGATTTAGCTCAGTGGCACCGAACCTGCCTGGCAAGGGCAAGGTCCTGAGTTCAATCCCCAGTACCAAAAGAAGTCTCAAGATAATGTAAAGATTGGTTAAAATGAAGTAATTGATGTGTTTTCAAGAGCTCATCCTGGATGCTGAGTGTGGATGGGCTGGAGGGGACCAGTTGGCAGGTGACTGTGGGGGTCGAGGACTAAGGGAAGGGCACACACCGAGGTGCCAGCCAGGGAGCAGCAGGTCCAGGGAGCGAAGGTGAGCTCTGTGCTTACCTGGGGGACAATGGGAGCGTGCCCACCCTGCATGGTTGTCAGGTGTCACAGTCCCAGAAGATGGGCAAGGAGGATCCTTGAGTCAGAAACATCCCAGCAGCAATAAGAGAAAGGCCAGGAAGGAGCAGAAGTTGGGGAGACACATGGCCCAGGGAGCTGCTGGAGGGCAGGCAGCCCCTGAGGAATGGGGAGCACGGGAGCAGAGCCAGGGGACTGCCTCCAACAGCAAGGTGTGGGCACAGTGCCAGCCACAGAGGGGAAATGGCATAGGGCAGCAGCGGTGCAGAGTGGGCCTCAAAACTCTGCTGAGCATCCCTTCTGCGCCGTGGCACAGGTGAGGAAGAGGAGGGTGCTGGTGGTGGGCTGGGTGTGTGGAGCACAGGGCCTGGGGCCCGCACCGGGGATGTGCATTTCCAGGACCAGCTCCATGGGCCCAGACTGGCTTAGCTTCTTATTTTGGGGGCCCACTGATGCCCATGGCGGGTACCCTGTCCACCAGCTGCTGCTGGCCCAGAGCAGCTCTGTCCAGGCAGCACCTGGGGAATGTGTGGGGAGCAGGGCTCTTTTCTCTTTGGGGAGGGGCAAGAACATTTTCCTTGCACCATTTACCTGAGAATTTGGATGTTTCCTGCCACGAACCTCTCAGTATACAGTTCTCTGAGCATTGTTGCACTAGGCATCAAGCCCTCAACACACAAGTCTGAGGGAACACATCAGATTTACACCTTAACAGCCTCACACCTTTCCTCTTGGCCTTATTTTTTCTGCCTGCCTCCTCACCATTCCTTGCTCTCTTCTCTCCTCCTTCTCACACTGGCCCCCCTACTGCTGCTGGGTTGAATGATGTTCCCGTAAAATTCCACTGGAAACATGTGAATGTGACTTTATTTGGAACTAGAGTCTTTGCAGGTCTGGTCAAATTTAGATGAGGTTACACTGGATTAGAGCAGACTCTAAACACAATAGGACCAGTGTCCTTATAAGAAGGGGGACATTTAGACCCAGAGACGCAGAGGTAGAAGGGCTTAGGATAGTAGTGGCAGGAATCGGGGTGATGCTGCTACCAGCCAGCGATCACTGAGGATTGAGACAACCACCAGGAGCCAGGACAGCATCATGCAACAGATTCTTCCAAAAAACTCCAGAAAGGAATTAAGCCTGCTGGATCTTGATTTCATATTTGCAGCCTCAAGAACTGAGACCATTTTGGTAACAAGCCATCCAGCTTGTGGTACTTCATTGGGGCAAGAAACAGATGCATCTCCTTTGTATTCTCTGCATTGCTGGTCTTGGAACCTCCAGCTGCTCCACTGGTCCTCAGTTCCTCCTGCATGGAGGTGCACACCTGCCTGGCTGCCCAGGCCTGCTGAGGAGGCCTGTGGTCTGTGGTGCATTCGTGTCCTGCCTCAGATTTTCCTTCTGTCTTAGTTACTTTTTTGTTGCTGGGACAAAATACTCAACACTCACAAGTTAAAGGAGGAAAGGTTTATCTTAGCACAGAGTGTGTAGAGGTTTCAGTCCAACTCAGCTGGCTCCAAAGCAGGGTGACATGAAAAAGGGGCAGGGCAGAGGAGAAACAGTCCATGGCAGGGCAGGCAGGAAGAACATGACTTCCTTCTTTGGTTTTTTATTCCATCCAGGCTACAAGCCTGGTTGGTGCCATCCACACCCAGGTGGGTCTTCCCTCTTCAGTTAGTCCGTCACCCACACCCAGAACCATGCTAAACCCACCGGTGGACCAATCCAGTATCACACACCCATGATCTAGTCACTCCCAAAGCCCCACCTATGAGCACACGAGGCTTTGTGGGGACATCTAGTTACAAGCCATAACACCTTCGCACCACTGAGAAGCACACAAAGGTGCCACCAAGTCACAGAATGTCTAGCTGGGCAAGCCATGGGGAGCCTCACTTGAGGGAAAGAAGGAAACATGTTGGCTAGAAACCCGGGAGTTCTGAGTGTGCTGACAGATGTACTGTTGGACAGCATGGCATTGAGGTGGGCATGGTGGTGTAACCCCAACACTCTTGGGGGCAGAAGGATTGCAAATTCAACCCCAGCCTGGGCAATTTAGTGAGGTAGTGAGGCTTTGTCCCAAAATAAAAATGTTTAAAAAGCACTGGGGATGTAGCTCAGTGCAGAGGCCTTGGTTTCAATCCTCAGAATCCCCAAAAGAAAAAGAAGGCTGCCACCGGTTAGCTACAGGGGACAGGAAGAAGTGGGTGTGTGGTGTGCAGGCAGCTCCATTTCCAGAGCACATGTGTCTCCAGGTATGGGGCGGCTGCCCAGCACGGCAGGGATCTCCTGGTTTTAGAGGCCGTGAAGCTGGTGAGCAGCAGCTACCCCTGAAGGACCACAGGCCACCTGGCAGCACCACAGGGAGACTGGCCTGGGAGTGGGGGCTGTGGGGACTCTGTTGGGGAGGTCACAGAGAAGCAGGTTCCCCCTGAACTCACGAGGAGGAGGACAGGACTCTGTGTCAGTCCACCTGGTGCGAGCTAGCATGAGGACACCCAGCTCCATCCAGGGTCTTTCGTACTCCCCTAGCTGGGGGGACTGAGCGGTCCCAGCATCGCAGTTGGGGTTAAGTTGGCTCTGTTACTTCCTCACACTCTCTGTGGAGCGTGGTGAGCAGAATTTTTGCAGCGTGAAGGGAGAAAGACAGTTATTTGGACAAAGAGTGGCCCAAACCAGTGGGACCCTGGAACCACCAGGTGTGGGTGGGTAAAGCACCTCTTTTTCTGGGTCCTCTGGAGGACTTCGGGCCTCTACAGGAAAGGAGAACTTGGGAGTGAAGCCTTTCCAGTGAGCGGCCCTGACAGAGTCTCCACTGTCCGCTCTCAGATGGGAAACCGTATGGGGACGAGGAAGGACCACACTCTCAGTCTGTTTTGTGCTATTGCCACAGAATGCCAGGGACCGGGAAACTTGCAAAGAAGAGAATGTGTTTCTCCCAGTTGTGGCAGCTGGGAAGTCCAAAATCAAAGCGCTGTTCTGGCAAGGACCTTCTTGCTGTGTCACTCCATGGTGGAGAGAGAGAGAGAAAGAGAAACCGGAATTCACCATTTTCTACCAAGCCCACTCCCACAGTCATGGCACTGACCATTCGCGAGAGCAGAGCCCCCAAGGGGAATGACCTCTCGTGAATTCCTGCCTCCTGACCCCATTGCTTTTTGCAGGGACACATTCCAGCCTCAGCGACTGGCAACTGTGGTGGAAGAGCGTTCGGGGGTCAAAGGCAGAGATGTGATGGGCAGAGAGAGGAGGCTGGTGACTGGCCGGTGACAAGTCTGGAAATTCGGCAGCTTGTGCTGCCCCGCAGGGCTGTGCCTCTGGGAGAAGGGAGCCAGGCCAGGAAGAGGTAGTGGAGGTGTCTAAGATCCCAACTGGATTTACTGGCAGGACTCAAAGAAAGATAAAAACTGCAGCACAGTTGCAGCAACAAGCTGTAGGATTTTGTTCCCTTCACATCAGGAAGAAAAATGTGAGGAAGTTCTTGTCTGGCTTAGGGTGAGAAATAAGGGTGGAATTAGAATTAGCTTAGGAGAGTGGTAAAGCTAACGAACTGGCCAAGCGTTAGGTGCTGCGCCCATCAGCTGGCTCTTCAGCCTTGCACCCTGGGAAAATGTAGGAAAGTAGCTTTGTTTCCTTAGTTCCTAATGGCCGTGTGTCACATAAATAATTCCCTGAAGAATTGAGAAGGCTCTGCCCCAAGGTTTTTCTCTGGAATCCTCATCCTTCAGAGAACCTGGGGAAGCTTTCAGTCCTGGGTACTGAGCTCAGCAAGAAGCCAGCACCAGTGAGGCCTGCTGGGTTCACACAAATGCCCTGGGATCCAGATGGGGGGTGGCTTCAGGGCAGGAGGAACATGAAATCTGTACCAAAATTTTCAGGAACAAAAAGGAAGCCCACGTTGCATGGGTTTTTAACTAGCTTTGTATCTGTATGGGTGTACACTGGGGGACATGTCTCAAAAATGTTTTTAAATGGAAAAATATGTATGGAAGTACAGGAATTAAAATCTAAAATCATAACATTATACATACTTTGTTAGAGACGCAACAACGCTAATGAAGCTGATGTGAAAATATCTGTGATTTCTACTGGTGTTAGCATTATAGACTGATAACACTGATGTGATTTATTGGCTGCACTTATTAAAGAAAATGATAAGAGTAGAGAAAATGTGAAAAAAATTTCCCATCAAAGCTAAATTCTATCCAGGCCAGGGATTTAGCTGAGTGGTTCTGCTGCTTGCCTCACAAGCGGAAGGTCCCAAGTTTGATCCCCGGTACCAAAAAAAAGCTAAATTCTATCCAAGGATACTTTGGAGATGCTGGCCCTCGATTAATTGTATAAAGCCATGGCGATTTTGGGGTTTGTGTCTTCCAACAGCAGCTAACATTAATAGTCCTAGTACATTCATTGGCCTGATTTAGTCTGGAGGGAGCATCCTTCCTGTATGAGGACCTTGTCCTTCACGTAATCTTATCACGATAGGCTGAGTAATGTCCCCAGAGATGTCCATGTCCTGGTCCCCAGAACTGGGAACAGGCTACCTTACATGGCAGAAAGGATTTGTAGGCGAGACCAAATTAAGTGTCTTGAGGTGCCGAGGTTGCTCACCAGGCGGGGCCTGAGGTCACAAGAGCCCTTAGAGAAGAGAGACACTGTGCCCTCCACTTCGGTGGTGTAATGCCCAAAGCAAGGGGTCCAAGTGACTCAGGACGCGCCCATGAGCCAAACAGTGAAAGTGACTTCTAACACCTGGAAAGGCAGAGAACTGGTGTCCTCCCCTGCAGTCCCTAGAAGGGACACAGCCCTGTTGGCACATTGTGGTACATTTTTTGTCTTCCAGAACTATAAGTTGATAAATTTACATTGTTTTGAGCCACTAAATTTGTGCTAATTTGTTACAGCAGCGATAGGAAGCTAATACACTTATGCACTGCACTTTAAACACCTTTCATTGATCTGTACTGACACGCAATAAAGTATAGAGTTCTTATATAACTGAATGACTGCTTACACATTATATGCAGTGTAAGCATCACCCAGACCAAGCACTCAGAAGGCTCCCTGGTGGTCCATTCTGGGGTGTCCAGTCTTCTGACCCCCAGATGCATGGATTAGTTTGTGTTTTGTCTGCTTTTGAAGTGCACAGACACGCAATCTTATCCTAAGTACTCATGCATCTGGCTTCTTTCGTGCTCACATCTGTGAGATCCGTCTGTGTCATTATTGCCTGTCTATCGCACATTGAAGTTGGCCCTGTTATTGGTAGAAAGCTCTTATTCTCATACAAAAAAGCATAAATAAAGACACCATCTTATATTTTCCCTAATTGTATGGCTTCCCTTTAATGGCCTGAAGCATTCCCAAAATTCTTCCTTATTCCTATCCCAGGAGAGCAGGCCCCTGTTCAGCAGCCTGGGGGAAAGTTATGTGGGCTTGAACGTCTCTTTGTCAAGAAAGCCCGCACTCCAGCGTCCCCACCAGGAGCTGGGCTGTGAGCCCTGAGCCGCGTGGGCACCTGGCTCTGGACCAGCCTCTGGGACTGTCCTCCCAGCTCCAGTGCCTGAACCTTTCCTGGCAAAGATCTCCTCTGTGCCCACCAACCTCAGAGCCTCTTTTATCTGTGTCTCCCTTTCCTATCAGACCTGCCCTGAGCACCCTGAAGCCCTCTTTTGACCCTCACTCTGTTCCTCCTCCCCTCAGAACAAAACCACCACACGTCCTGGCTTCCTCCCAGGCCTGCTCTGGCCTGGCCTTCCCTCCCCTCAGTCTCTGACTGCCCTGATACCTCCTCACTGTGGTTCGGTCTTTCCCCTCTCCCGCCCCTTCAAGACCCCTTATAGAGCATCCGTGCTGGCTGAAATTGAAGATTCTCCCTGCACTCGGCCGGGGAGGCCCCCCATGGTGAAGGCGTCACAGAGAAGACATCTTGCTGGCCCTTCCTGCCTCCTGGAACCTCAGCACACCGTCTGGCCTCGGCCTCTGGGCCCAGCATTGGCTGGAGGGCGACCATCTTTGCTGGTCAGGGAGGCCCAAGGCTGTAGCTTCCCATTGCTGAGAGGAGAGCACCTGCAGTTGAGGGCGGCTGGCTGAGGTGCAGGGGGCTTCTCTGCGGGGTCACATGCTAGGCAAGAAGAGGAGGAAGAAGGTTCCAGAAGCCACGCCAGGGCCTGGGCTCTGAGTCTGGGATGACAGACGGGTTCTATCCGTTGTCTCCTTTGTTATGTCTCCAGTTTGTGTGGATGCCCTAGCGCACGGGTCATTAGTCATTTTTATTTTTCTCTATCAAAATAGCATATTTGTTCCTGATAAAACTGACTGAAGAACACAGGCTGAGCTCTGCAGTGAAGAGGACCTGCAAATATTCTCCACTCTGCAATTAAACATCACCCCTAACTTCAAACCTGCTCCCCCTACATGCTGGGGAAACTCAGAGAGAAGCAGGGGCAGCATTTGTAAGGGTTATTTAGGGGACCAGAAGAGTGGGACGGGGGAAGGAAGGAAGTGATTCTGCCTGTGGAAATCCTTTCTCTGCTTGAAAAAATATCGCCGCACACAAAGACCATAAACAGAGCCCCTGGAAGACTCCTCTGAGGAACTGTTTTGAAAGCTGGTCCATGCTCCAGGTCAACAAGAAGGAAAGGGGCCTGGGCGTGGGGGTGACACAGCTCCCCTGTGGGGTGGCCGCCACCCGGCTCTGCTGCCTTTCCGCTCCGAAAACTTCCTCAATCTGGGTCTCGCTTTTAGATAATAAACATTTGTTATCCTTGTCCTCGTTAGCTAAATTTTATAAGGAGGAAAATAAGCTAAACAAAGCGAAGAAGTTGTATACCTGAAAACCTATCTGTACCCGGCCGGAATGCAAGGAAGGAAAGGCCTGAGATTTATTTTTATAAACATCATAATAAATAACAGATCTCAACCTCGGGGTATAAACAGCGTCTGACGCGTGCACCAGGCCCGGCAGGGTTGGGTGCAGGAGCCCAGGCCGCCTTCGCTGGCTCACCTGTGCCTCATTGCTCTCCGAAGTGGGATTTGTATGCCAGACCCTTCCCTCCCTCGGGTCCTGCCCCCGGCCTCCTCCGGGCCAGCGCGGGGATTGTCCGCCCGGGAAGACACCTGACGAGGCCGGCGGCTTCCTGGCTTCCTTCCTCCGCCGACTCCAGGCCCGTGGCCCCACAGATGTTCTCCCTGGGTTTGTTTTGATAGCCTGTTTTTAAAACAGTTCATATCCACCAACTGTTCGCATAGTAATATTCCAAGTGGAGAGCAACGTGATTATTTTCGGTGCCGTTTACGTTGACGAGCGTGGCTCAGCTGGGAAGTGCAGGCAGGGGAATTCCCCTTTCTTGCTCTCCTCGCTGTGGCCCGAGGCAGCCTCAGTGTCAGCTTTGTGTCACTCGTGAGTGCTGCCCGGGGAGGAAAGGGCGAGAGGCTCGGATGGAAGAGTGTGGGGTGGCCGTCACTGGAGTCGGCAGTCTTCCAGCGGAGTCAGGCTCTCTCTCTTCACCAGCACTACGCTTTTGCACACATGTGTGCAGGGATTCAGGCAAGACCTGGCTGAGGGGGAGCTGGTGCTTTGCACCAAGTCCCCAGTGACTGAAGCATTCGCACTGCCCGTGTGGGCACCTCCCCCACAGGAGGCAATGCCCGTCCTGCTGTCCTCTCTGCTGTTCCTCTGCCTTGTCTTCCGAAGTTGACCCTGTCATCGCAGTGCTCACTCTGACCACCTTGTGGCCTTCCGTACCCCTCCCCATCAGACCTTTACATCGTTGCTTGGCCCAGACTCCGAGAGCTTCAGCCTGCTGTCTGTCATTCACCTGCTCGAAAACTCTTAGCAGCTAGCTGGGCGTGGTGGCACAGGCCTGTAATACCAGCAGTCTGGGAGGCTGAGGCAGGAGGGTCACAAGGTGGAGCCCAGCCTCTGGCTTAGAGAGGCCTTGCCTCACAACGACAAAGGCAAACAGCAAACAAATGCCTCTTAGCAGCTACCTGCTATGTGCAGAGCAGCGTATAGAGCCTCTCCCCCGTGCCTTGGGTCCTCTGAGCTCTGCGCCCAGCCTCCCTCTGTGCCTGATTTCTCTCTTTAGTGCCACATGGATTCCATCCAGGGTCCAGTCAAGCTCACAATTGTTGAAGTCACCCTTGCTTTCTAGTAGGGCTGCCGCTTGGCCAATTCCAAGGGATGTGCCTCACTTCACTGTCTCTGTGTCTGTCCCCCTAGAGTGACCAGGGCCCAGCCTGTGTGACCCCATAGCCACTGGGCCTTTGCATGTGCTGTTTGCTCACTCAGAAGCAAAGTCCTTTACCAGATCCAGCTGTTGAGACCTGGATTCCTCAAACATTACCTCAGCCGTGAATCCCTTGCTGGAGAGGGGAGCTCTGTATCAGGAATCAGTGAAAAAAGTTAGATCTGAAGTGTTCATAATTTTCTTTGTGTTTATATGCCAGATTTTGCACATAATCTCCTGAAGGATAAAGACCATGAATTGTGTTGCTGCCTATCTGCTGTGTCTGTCAGTGGGGCTGACAAATAGAGTGTAAGCCAGCTTTTTGTTACTTGAACAGATATTTGCTATTATTAACTTGTAAAGAGGAAAGGTTCATTTTGGCTCACAGTTTTAGAGGGTTCAGTCTACGATCTGTTGGCCCGTTGTTTTGGGCGAGCACATCATGGCAGGAGCCTGGGGCGTAGCAAAACTGCTCATTTTGAGTATAGGAAATGAAAGAGAAAGAAGGAGGGCCTGAGGTAACACTTTCCCATTAAGAGACACATCCCCGATGACCTGCAGTTGCCCTATCGGCCTGTCTCTTAGGGTTTTCTCCACCTACAGTACTGTCTCACTAGAGACCAAGCCTTTACCACAAGACTTCTTGGGGGACATTTGAGATCCAAATGTAGGACGGACTCAGTTGGCTTTTGCTGGATGAACGAAAGAACCGAGAATTTGGGCCGGGGATTTAGCTCAGTGGTTCTACCACCTGCCTTGCAAGCACAAGGTCCTAAGTTCAATCCCTGGTACCAAAAAAACCCCCAAAAAACAAGAACTGAGAATTTGTGTTAGGCTTAGGCTGCACATTTCATTAATGACCTCTGCATGCACTGAAACTCACTACATCTCTCGGGTCTCTTGTCATCTTACCGGGTTTGGTGGAGGATTGGGTAGGAGCCTAGAGAAGTTTCCTCCACTCTCTAGATTCATATAATGGTGAATCAGGGGACTCTCAGGTATGTGCAAGTTTGCAGGGTATCACCAGTCCGGTGCCTGAGAGTCACTCCCACAGCCTGAGGCCTGGGACATGGTGGATGGGGCAGGGGTAGCGGGAAGTGTCTGTGAAGGCGCTTTGAACCCGTCCCTACTTCCACAGATCAGGTGTTTCTGTCTGTTTCACATCTTGAGGGCTGGTAAACGGTATCTACCAGATATAAAAAATATTTTTAAATGAAAACCAAAAATGAACCATCAATAGAAGCCAAGAAGATAAACGTTCAGAACTATCAGCAATGCCCGTCTAGATCTCTCTGAAGGGATCTTAAAGCACATCAACAGCTTCCAGTGCAGAGCATTCATAGGACCCGGATCCAGAGAGTTGTCTGCAGACCTGGTTTTAGCCCCAACTTTGTCACCAACAACGTATCTCAGTTAAAAGGCCCAGGTGATGCAGTGGGTCACAGTGCCAAGGAGCTGCAGGGAGAGGCAGCATCTGGGGAGGCAATGTGAGGTGACGGCCCCCCTGCTCTCCCTAGCCCTCCCAGTTCGCACATTTCCGGACTCCGTGACTCAGCTGGCAGGCGTGTGGCCCTTGTTGCTGGGGAAATGCTGCGTGCACATTTATTCTGGGTTTGGATATTTAAAGAGCCGGGTGTGTTGTGCCACATTTCGGAAGTGCTTGGGGAGGGAAGGGTTTGCAGAGCTGGCTTCTCTGGAAACAGTTATAGATATCCTGTCCTGATCTCCCGGTCCACAAAGACTCATTTTCTTCCCTTAAGAATCTGAAGTGGGTCCAACCTATTGTGTCCACCTTGCTGGCTCCTGGCTGTGCAGCCTGGGAGGAAGCAGGTGGCCCGTGGTGGGACTCATGTCCAGCTGCGGCCCAGGCCTGCGGTGGGTCCTGTCCCGGGCAGCCTTGCTGTCTGTAAGACAAGCCTGGCCAGACTGGGCTGCTGGGGTGGAAGCCACGCATTGTCTGGCTCTGCTCGGGCCCGGGGGCAGGAGCGGACCCTCCCCTTGCTGGGGACCAGATGGGGCTCTCTGGGCCCTCAGGGCTCTTGGCAGAGTTGGCAGCCACCAGAGCCCCCGGGACGTGGGCAGTGCAGGCTTCCTGTTCCGGGCTTGCTGTTTGCACTGGCTCAAGAGGCTCAGGCGGAAAGCTGGAACTTTTGTTTCCAACTGCCTGCGTCATTTTTACTATGTGAATGGCCATGCTGGGCTGCTTTTAGGGAGGTGGCTCTTTTGTTGCTTTGCTCACTCAGGATAGTGTTTGCAGTCAGTTTCTTCACAGCCCAAGTCCGCTGTCTCTGTATCCCTTCCCATCAGGAGAAAACGTCTGGGGCTGGCCTGGGTGTTCTGAGCAGGTGCAGTCTCATTTTTCTCTGTGACACTCAATTGTTCTCATGTCTGCTCTCAGAGGTCACCATGTCCACATGCTCATGATGACACATTTGAAAAATACAGGAAGTAAATATAGGCGATGCAGGAGGAAAGTTTGTTCCACTTTCTAAGTTACATTAGCGTGAGAATTCTGCTGATAACCCTTCTGTCTCCTTTTCAGTGGGGCGGGGCTCGTTCTGCAGGGATTGGGAAGGAACCTGCTCACCACAGACCGGTCAGCCCTGTGTCCTTGCATTGTTCCACACCCCTGGGGGTTCTGTGGGTGCAGCCTTTAGACCTCTGCACCTCTCCCTTAGCCCTGTCACCAACAAAGCAATGTCAAGATGTCAGCCAGTTTTAAGGAGGATAGATGAGATTCTGGGCAACTTTTATTTATTTATTTTTACATCTCTTGGACATTTTTTTGCACGTCTTTCAGTAACAAACGTAAGAGCAGAGGCAGAAGGATGTAGCATCAGAAGTGCAGGCTCAGGCACCTGGTGGCCTGGGTGGGTTGCTTAGCGACAACATGCCTCAGTTTCCTCATCCTTGAAACATGGATAATAATACTACCGATCTCACTGGTAAATTTTGAGGTTTTGTTGTAGACAGAGCCCAGTAAGCTGTGTCCACTGTGGCTTCATATTAACATTTATACTCACAGAAATTCTAAAAGTTCCTGTTATGGGCTGAATCGGTCCCCCCACCTCTTAACATTTATTTGTTGAAGTCAGCCCTCAGGACCTGAGAATGTGACTGCATTAGCCAGATTTCTGTCACTATAACAAAATAGCTGAGATGATGAACTCATAAAGGGCAGAGACTTATTTTAACTCATGGTTTTGGAAGTTCCAGGTCAACATGAAGTGGACCATTGCTTTGGGCTTTTGGTGGGTGAACAGCTCAACTCACAGCCAGGGAGCAAAAGAGGAAGAGCCCAGTGTCCCACTGTGCCCTTTAAGGCTATGCCTCCAATGACCTAAAGACCTCTTCTAGGCCTCACTTCTTAAGGTTTCTACCACCTCCCAACATTGCTTTGGGAACCAAGATTTAATATGTGATCTTTGGGGGAGCGGTCAACATCCAAACTCTAGCAGAGACTGTACTTGGAGCTAGGATCTTTAAAGAGGTAATCCAGTTTAAATAAGATTGTAAAGGGTGTGGTCCTAGTCCACTAGGATGAGTGTCCTTCTAAAAAGAGGATAGAACACCAAGAATGCATGCACACAGAGGAAAGACCACAGGGAGAGGTGACCAGAAAGCAGCCGCCTGCAGGCCAAGGAGAGAGGCCTTGGGAGAAACCAGCCCTGCCAGCACCTTAATCTTGTATGTTCTGCCTCCACAACTGTGAGAGAGTAAGTTTCTGTTGTTTATGCCACCAGTCTGTGATACTTTATCACGAAAGCCCTGGGAAGGTGATATAATTGCTTAACAAGAACAAGAATGGGGCATCGCTGTGGCTCATGGCCTAGATCTCTGCCCTGAGCTCCTGCAGGGGCACCTGATGCATGGGTGGCAAACAGCTTGCCCAGCCCTGGAGCTTCCCCATCCTTCCCAGGGTCCCTAGTGTCAGTGTGATGTCCTCAGACTCTACTGAACTCCACGCTTATGCCTCACCAAGCCTCTTTCCCCGTGGC